GTTGCTTCTGGAACTTCAGATTTCTAGAAATAAGAACAGCTTTACAGTAAATTCTCCCTAATTTTCCTTCAGCTTGTGAACAAGAATGGACAATTTGGGAAGAGGAGACACGATTAGTCGAGCTTCGCACCTTGCTTTTATAATTGTTGACAATAAGCAACTATAAAAATAAGCCACGAGGCTCGAATAATCGTATCTCCTCTTCCTCCCAAATGGTCGATTTTTGTTTTCACGCTGAAGGAAAATTAGGTAGAATTTACCGTATTTGCTAACAGAAAGCACAGTTGTTTGTATACGAGAGAATCACATAACCGGAGGTAATGTGGTGCTGGTAATTCTGAATGTTTGCAGCTCGACGTCGTATGCCAATAATCACGACGTTCGCATGATTGGACCTGTTTGGTATCTGGACCGATTTCACTTTGGTCACTTTGGTTAATTAAGGGTTTAGAAAACTGTCCGTCACCGTCGCTCTTACGACGGTAATTAGTTTCGTAAGACGCTTTCGTAACGTTGAAAAGGAGGATATCGGAGAATTTATTAATACTTACGTTCCCAATGATAAAATTAATTTTGCGTATCAAGTGTTTCGTTTGACTTCGGTCGAACCTTTCGGACAATTATCTCTGGACAAATTAACTCACCCATTCTAAACGAGTTATTTAATTACCCTTAGGTGGCAGCGCCGATGCAACATTGTTGTCGACGTTCGATAAATCTCGAATCATTCGTATCAGTCGTTCGCATACAACCGCCAATCGAATCACTGTCTCGTAATTTGTTCTCTGGTTAGCCTCGCGACAGATGGCTTGTTTATCGCAAGCGAATGTTTACTGTGAAATAAAACGAAATAAATATTCAGTATTCATGAAAAACAACGCGGCAATTCCACTTACATGAATCCGTATGATAAATTGTTTTGAAAATTATTTATCGTCACGGATAATACAATCAAGTTTATTTGTTCGAAAAATGTTCTACGAACCGCTGCCGGGTATTATCAACAGAGTGCGGATTTTTATGCAAATTCATAAATCAGTTTCCAAAAACCAGACCGAGCGAAAAATTTATATTCCGAACGAAAATATTCCTTACAGTAAAAACGTCATTACTGTTTATTAACGTGACCGTTACCTCGTATTTCGCGTGTTTGCCAATAACGTAAACGCGTATACAGATTTCGGTTATTGATGATCGCTGCGATAAAACTTAAACATGCCGTCGGAAAAAAAATCGGAATTTTTTGCAATCGCGACGCATGAACTCGATTTCCCGATACGATGTATGCGTCCGATGCTCGGCGACCGCCAACGAAAATAATAGCTCGAAGAAAGAAATTTTCGTCGCCGGATGAAAAACGTTCCGTTGCTTTCTTTTCGCGTCAGGCGACTTATTAATTGAACGGTCCGCGTGCGGAGCTCCACCGCAGCCGTGGCGGAACGCGTGGGCACGCTTTAATTAGCCTTATTTCCGAGCGAACGCGTTCTTGCGAGTTCTTTCAATGATCCCCCGGATAACTTTAAAAATATTTTCCAATTGAGCTGGCACGGGCCAAAGAATAAGCCTCCACTCGAAAGAGTTTCATAAAACGAAACCTGCAGCCTTCTCGATAAGTATGCCAGTCGAGTAGTAGACCTCTTCCCTACTGCAGAGAGAGAGAGAGAGAGAGAGAGAGAGAGAGAGAGAGAGAGAGTGATAGATAGAGGGAGAGGAAGAGAGAGACATACAGGGGGAGGAGGGAGGGAGAAAGAGGGAGAGGAAGAGGGAGACATATAGAGGGAGAGAAAGAGAGATATATAGAGGAAGGGAGAGAGAGATATATAGAGGGGGAGAGGGAGAGAGAGATATATAGAGGGGGAGAGGGAGAGAGTTATATATATAGAGAGAGAGATATAGAGGGGGAGAGGGAGAGGGAGAGAGTTATATATAGAGAGAGAGATATAGAGGGGGTGAGGGAGAGGGAGAGAGTTATAGAGAGAGAGAGAGAGAAGGGGAAAATGTGAGAGAGAGTGAGAAAGAGAAGGAGAAAAATTGAGAGGGAGAGAGCAGGAGAAAATGTATATGAGAGAGAAGGAGAAAAATTGGGAGAGAGAGAGAGAGAAGGAGAAAAATTGAGAGAGAGAGAGAGAGAGAGAGAGGGAGAGAGAGCAGGAGAAAAAGTGAGAGAGAAAGAGATCCCGCCGCTCTCTCGCGATGAAACTACGAAGCGGCTTTTGTTAACAAGCCGTCAGTCTTAATCTAGTTTATTCCTTGGCTTAGACTTCTGGGACGCCGGATGCTTCCGGCTCGGCGGTAACGTCACCCTCGAAGATCGACGGGGGATGCGGCCTTTATTTAATTTCCGCGTTCGCAATTTGCCGGGGCATTGCTGCGGGCGCGTCGAAATATGCTATGAAAAAAATCGATTCGTCGTTATACGCTTGATGGCTCCCTTGTTTTGTTTGGTTTATTCGGCTAAAAACCTCACTCCGCGGTACTAGTTTTCCGCACCGATATATCCCACTTTTCATCCGATTCATTGTACCGTTTCACGCAATTAATCGAGAGAGCGAGAGAGAGAGAGAGAAAGAGAGAGACCGTTGAGGAACAGTCGAGCCGATCGTTTCATTATTATAACGACGACAGACCGGCCGTCAATCTGCATGCAAATTTTTGCTTTCGGAGAGCGTACATTAAAAAGCTGATATTCGCGACGTATTTCTTTCGTTTCGCGCATCTTTCTTTCTATTTTATACACGTTTTATTCGTAAAAACCATTATCGGATCGAAATCAATCCGTTAATATATTTAGCTTGACAGATAGTCAAAATAATTTGGAACGTCGTGCAACTGTTTATTTTATGCAGAATTATAGTTTAAACAATTTGACGTGGCAAGTTGATAAAATTTCATTATACTATGGAAGTATGAAAATAATAATGTCGTTATTTTACTATATGCAGTGAACTTGCATTTTATGTTAGACTAAAGAAAATTCTGCAAATGTATATATTAACAAGTGCCTGCATCAAGTAAACAGTTTTTCAAAAAATAGGATAACGTTCGATCTTCAACGCTCTACCGCGGGCAATTTTTTGATTTTTTGGTGCGCGTCTTAGGCACTTAGAAACAAAAGAATTTCTAAATTTTTTAAATTTCATATTTTCTTAATTTAATTATTTTTGATAAATTTTATAAAATACGTAGAACGCGAATTCTGCATTGCCTGCGGTTGGAGGGTATTATAATTAAGGGTATTAATTATAAAGGAATCAGTAGACTGCGTTTCCTTTG